CATTGGTAGTTCCTAGGATGTATTATTTCTGTGTGGTGGGCGGAAGTGGTGTAGTGGCAAGTGGCACGCTTACCACGCGAGCGGTCCGGGGATCAAATCCTGGGTCGTGAGTCGCCCGGGCCAACCAAGCCTTCCATCCCTCCGGGGTCGGTTAATTGGTACCAGACTTGTCTGGGAGGATAAAAACACTGACTTGATCGGCTGGCCCCCGCAAGTCATTGTATAGGCCACATCGCATTCAAACGCCACTACGAATGTACAAATGGAAGTAGAATGCGTGCCGCATCCCAAAAAGGGATTGATCAACGGCAAATGCTTTATCCTTTTTATTCAATTTACATTATGGAATATCGGAAGCACGGTCACCTTCTTCCAAAACTGTATCTGCTAGCAGTATCCCTGAATGGGCGCTGGCGCATTGCACAGGAGTGGTGCGCGCGCGTCGCGCCATACGCTGAAACCATGTGAAATTAACGAAAGACTGCGCCGGAAAACTACGTGTTGCGCAAGCACCTCTGTCTGTGGCGGGAACATGGCAAACGCGCCAGCCAGTAATGAAGTGCTCACCCAGACTCCCACACAAGGTCGTGTCAGTCACCTCGAACTCAAAAAATAAAATAAAACGAAACTTCACTTCGCATTTGACCGTGAACAAGTTTTTGTTGAATATTTAATGATGATGAGCATAATAGAAACATTTAACAAAAAAAATGGAAAACATCTATAATCTACAACCCCTTACAGAGCCTAACAATCCTCTAACTTTGACTAGCTAACAGGAAATATCCATTTGCTCTGCTGAAAAACACAAATCAAAAGTAATTACAATATTCAGAAAACATTTCACTGGAGCAGGCACATTTCTATATAACCTACTTCAGTAAATCATTGCTATGGACCTATAGGAATAAACATAACGAAATCGTTCAAAAAAATCAACAGTGAAACAACTTAAACAATACCTACTTAACTATTTTGCTGTGGAAGAGTGGCACTCCCTTTCGAGATGTTCATGGATCAACGACACCTGAATATTACATGTTTTAAAGACATAGCGCTCATACAGAAATTCACTTCATGACAATTAATTCAGGTCCACACTCATATATCATTCTTTTCTTAGAAAGGCTTCGGTCGTTTTGTTCTTTAGCTGGAATTTTCACATGACTCGCTCGCGTCATAGCTCAAATCAAATCAATCTATGTAGCAAGAATAACAAAAAATGTAATATGAGCAAAACTGAGAAATGGAAGTTTGTTGTCGGGAGCAAGGATGCGAAGAGCCACAATCACAGTCGACCGTTTGCTGTCCCAAGATCAGCTGATAAAAGGGCTGCTGAGAAACTTGAGAGGATAGTCGCCGGCGCGTGTCAGCGAAGGGCTGGTTGCTAGCAAAGTATGATGAGACTGGGTTTTTTTGACGGGTTTGATAGTTTCAGTCAGAAAAGATACGTAAAATTAGGAAAAATAAAGCATCGAGCGTTCATCTTCGTCGTTTCTGGGTGATGTGCCAGCGGCTCATTGTTTCGCAAAACGAAACTGTGAACAAAGTGTGGTGGTTAAGGTGGTGTTTGGGGTGTCAGTGGGGGGGGGGGGCTGGAAAAAATTCTTTGAAAGCGGTAGGACGCTCATTGACCCTAGGATCACAGCATAGGTCGTATACCGAATTAATAGGCGCATTGTTGCCAAGAAATTAAACATTGCAGCAGCGCTCGAGCGCGGTTGCGGTCCAAATTTTCAGGCCAGAGTGAAGCGCTAAGTTCTGAGCAGCATAATATGCGCGGAATGGCATAAAAGGTATGTAACCTGATAGTAACCAAACAGTGAATAACTCCAACCTTTTCTAAGTAGTTCTCAACATCTTTGCTGCTTTCTTATCTGCAAGCGCCTTCAACTGTTCTGCTACAATCTCACGTCGTTCATCGAGGAACTTCTTCAGCTCCACTGGATCCAAATCCTCTCGCTGTACTTGGATTCCTATCATTCGGCACTGTTGCACTATCTGTCTACATATGAACTGAAAAAAAAAACTAAATTACTGCAGTCGCAAACAGCTACTTTAGAGTGTGGATGAGTCAGCCAGGAAGTAAGAACGAAATGTGAAGCGTTCGCCATTGCTTGACCCTTTTTTTACGATACGCCACTGAGTCCCATTTGGGAACGTAATGACAAGTGAATACGATCTGTCCCATAAAATGACTTGTGGCCTACGAAAAGACTGTTTTCTATTCTTCCAGACAATTTGGCTATCAACTCGCTACCAATATCGACACAAAAGGGATGGATGGCTTGGTTAGCCTAACCAGGGAGGTCTTCCAGGAAATGCCCAGCTTTCTCGAAACGGTTTTTGCATGATATAGAGGTACGTGCATGGAACACAGAACTGTGGTTCATTTTTCCTGAGCGACCCTCTGAATACCAAAAAAGGAGCGAAGAAAAATTTCTTAAGGAACTGCCGTTCTTAACTTTCTTCACCAGTTTTTTTTAGCCAAAGTCTACGTATAAAGGTTGCTGATGGTCCTAATTATAGATATGATATAAGTTGTTTCCCCTGACGCTATTTTTCGCAAATTTTGAAACGCCCACACAAAATGCAAAGAATTGTCACTGCGAGGAAGAAGAAGAATTAAAGATTAAACAGAAGAAGACAGAATTTTAGAATTCGAAATTTTAGTACAATCAATAATTCAACACATCGAAAAGTGAACAGAAACTATTCGTTGGGAAGTAGTGCCACTTGTCTAGGCGCACGGTGAGGAAACCACATTGCGCCTAGACGAGTGGCACTACTTCGTACCTCCCATGCGAGGCCCAAGGCAACTGCATTGAAAGTGAAACACCCATACCTGCAAAGGTACTCCTTGCAAAACTTTGTCTCTCGACTTCACTTTGGCTATTTCATAAACATGCTTCACGGAAATCTTTCCAGCGATTTCATCTGCAGAAGATTCTAAATTGTCGGAACGAAAGAAACAGAGCATTAATAAGTATCAAATAAAATCCATGAAAAGTAATGGATAAGTACGCACCAGTATTTTGTTTTCCTCTCGCGATTCCAGCTGCCTGCTTCAGGAGCCATGACGTTGTCGGCGTTGTGCAAATCTCCAAATCGTACGTTCGATCAGGCTTTATCGAAATGCGTGTGGGAAGTGGTACACCTACAAGCATCACTTATAACTAATATTTCAGATGCAGCTAAAATCCCTAAGAAAGCACACGAAATAAAAAAGGAACGCCTCCGGTTTTACACAAAAGGTTATTTACCGACAGCACTCCCAATTTTACAACGCAAGAGTTCAAGGAGTTCAAATGAGAGATAAGTACGAGTAACGAGCAAACTACTTGGGTACTAGCACCACATTATTTCACGATTTGGATCGCTGCCGCGGCAAGCGCGGGCGAGTTGGTAGCACCTACGAACTGTGCTGAGTGTTTTCAAACCTGCCCACTGTTCGCGGCCACTACTGATTCGCCGCCGCTTAAGCCCCGGCGGGAGGCCGCCACCTTCAAATAGATAAGAATGGGGGAGCCACAAGTGAGGAAATTCACAAAAAAACACTCTATGAATGTACGCTTCAAATCTAGTTTGGCGAACAAAATGGATCAACACTACGCGTTTGATGTGACGGCTCTTTGTTAAATTCTTTGCAAAAGTTTGCAACATTCAATCCTCGTTGACCAAGCTGCGGACCCAACGGTGGGGCTGCAGACGCCATCTGCGCCCTATAAATAGGATTCAAATTACACTACGTTATAAATGGAAACGAGGGTGGAAGTGCGGTGTGTTGGCTAGTTGCGACGTTACCAAGCACAACTAGCCAAAGATCAAACCCCAGATCACACGCAGGATATGGTCAACTGAGCCTTCTCCTTCTGAATCCTAATTGCTCCAGAATTGTCTGGGAAGATAAAAACACCGATTTATACACGCATTACCCCTGCAGATATTGGTTAGGTCGTACTGAAATTTCACTATGGCCTGGACAAAAATAGAAAGGGTGCCCCTTCCCGAAGTGAAACTTATCAACGCCGAGCTTTTAATAACGTCCTCTTCCTTTTTAATGACGCACAAAGGAAACCTAAATAGCCCCAGATTAGAGAGATATTCTATTTAAGAGCAAGAGAACAGCTCAACTGAGCAAAACTAATTCTATTCTCTGGAAGTCCTAATTATTTACGTCTAGCCCTCTTTGTGCAGTTCGCAGAAATCAAAGAAAAAAAAGACTAATGTTTCTATTACCATTCCTACCCTACTGTGAGGACTAGAAATAAAATAGATACCAAAGCGACTGAACGCACAACGCATTAACTGTGACAAAAGATCTCGTCAACAATTCATCGCGCATGTGGCCTACGCAATAATGCTGCGGGTAGGGCCCGTACATAACTCCACCCGCCTCGCCATCGCCGTCGAAAACTACGGAAACGCCTCCGTTTATGGGCGCTAGCTTTGGAGTGGAGATGGACTTCGGTTGCTACGGAGATGTCCATGTTAGTATGCTTCGGCGTCTCGTCGCTGCTTAGGTTAGTTGCTTGCTCGAGGCCCCGGAGCACGCCCGCAAAATTGTTCAAACCCACTTTATATTAGTTTTCAGAAGAGCACCATGGACAACCTTCACAACCTCCTTCTTCCTTACACGTGCTACCTTACTCGCCATTGTTCTAAAACATGTATTGAGTTATTAAACCCGAAAAAGAACAATGAAGCGATTTGAAACCTCTAAAACAAGTTACAATGTAATAATAGAGCAGTAGAGGCATCATTAAACAGCATCCAACTACAGCAATAAGAAGCAGTGGAAAAGAAATTAAGGAAAGCTGATACGACAATTAAAGCTCATCGTTCTTTCGAGGAACTAATTCAAGTACGCAAATTCGCGTCAGCCTACTGCATACTTTTGAGCCTACAGTAACCGTGATAAAGAATATGTACCAATCGCTACGCATGAGAATGTGAAAATGTATCAGAAAGGAGGAAGGATAAACGATGAGGATAAACGTATGATTGGAGAATTACAAGGGCGGTATTTCTTATCGATTTGTATTGATCAGGTGGAACTACAGGCCACAATCTATTCACTATCCGGTTCATTAAATCGCACTTTGAGGAATTGACCATAATTGGATCTTCTACAGTTTAGGGGGACAGCTTTTATTTTTTCACCAGGAACGCCAGAGCTGGATGGAAGCCTATCTCGCTATGTTATGACCGAAACATCCCTCGATGTGCTCGGTCCACAGCCCAATATTTTGTTTTGGAGGACAATATCTAGACTGAATTCCTCTACTCTGAACAGGTCATCTTAGGTTAAATCACCCTAAGCGCTCTCAGAGATTCACATGGAAGCTGATGCATGGCGCACTCTGGAGGAACTGCTAAACCATAATAGCCTTCTCAATACATATCATATAGCTCTCTAGGCTCCTTTTGTGAAGCCTTTATGCGACTTTATGTCCAAATTTTGTCAGCTCTGGGCTTTATTCGATGGCATTTTTTTAGTTTTATCGATATTTTTAATATTTTATTGATATTTTCTATTTTTATTATTTTATTGTCATTATTTTACATTTATTTCTCCTTTATTTATTCTTTACGACTTTCCTGTTGTATAGCTTTAAACAAGTAGGTGTTCTCAGGTGGGTGAGGCGCTTTGTTGTGTAGACCTCTCCCGAAAAATTATCGAGAATGCTGGGAGGCGGTCAGCTGTTCAGGTGGGCTACGCCACCTCCAAGCTTTGCCTCTGTGAACTCTCAATAGACGATAAGCCTCGATTCTCGTTGGACTCCTAGGACTCGCAGAAATTTTTATTAAATTGTTATCTAGGCTGTCTATATCAAAAACTGCCGCCTCCGTTGTTTGTAGAAGGGCAAGTGTGTAAGTAGTCCTCTTCGGCATTTCCTGCTTGCCTAGGTAGTTTGACGTATAGTTTTTTGGTCTATTTTCTTGAGTATGTCAATTATTCGAAGACACGCCCTGCATCTTGGCAGTTGTATCTGTCTTCTTATTCTTTATTCATATGCCGTGTTGTACCTCATTGAGTGCAACAGAATGTGAAATATTGCAGGTCCTACTTGGTTTTTTTTTCTGCCTCGCGATCTAATGTATTGAGAACGATGTTTTTTAGATTTCCCTTTTTCAGAATTTTGAAGCATGCACCCCACGAAGCTTCGATTGTCGAAGTGTTATCAGTGGTGCGTTGTGTGCGGGCGAGAAAGGGCGCGACTAGTGAGCGCTAGGGTCTTTACTAAGGGGCACGATTTGTGCGATATGTAACGTAGCATTTGAGAAGATTGAATTCCGTTCGCTGTTTGTTTACCCCATGCACACAATGGTGTAATTACGGCGTACAGTGGTCTAATTGTTGTGGATTAGCTAAGCATTGGAGTAGGCAAGTTGTGTTGATCGTCCAAGCCCCGCCGTACCACTCCTTTTTCAACGGGTATTTTTGTTCTAGTCTCCAATCAACGGTATCGTTTTTTTCATTTTTACTCATTTCGGCATCCACAACATCGTTATCCACCGCTGCGGTCCCACAAATTCGATCTGGGGGCGTTGCTTTGAGATGAACGGCATTGTAATGGCATTTGGGAGGAAGTTCCTAATGTCAATGAAATTTCAGTGAGTATCCATGAGCTCTCTCAGCTTGTACTTCATTTATCGATTGTTGTTGAGTGCAGATCTAGTTTTCTGTTTATGGCGCGAACTTCTCTGCGTTACCTGACTGAAGTTCTAAAGTTATCTATTTTCAGATATATTTTCGCTGACTGGCGTGGGCGTCTTGGCTGATTGAACGTCTTGATTTAGTGCGGTTGGCTGTGTTTTCACTTTATTCCCTGCTCTCCGAAATTTTTTAATTCTTCTTTATAGGTAATGAAATCCTTGGTGCTCGCTCTGCTTGTCTGTGCCTTGGTCGGCACAGCGTTTTCGTGCGACAAATTCCAGAAATACATGGAAATGTTCTGCAAGTATCCCGGCGAGGCCAACATGTGTCTGACGAGCAACGGTAAGCTGACAACAAATCGATACTGAATAAAGATTGATAGATGCCAACCCAGGTTTCAGCGCTCTACTTACATAGGTTCGTGGCTGTGCAGCTAAGGGTTGGATGCATTCAATTGAGATTCCCTAAGATAAGTTGGTGGGGTTTCTTTCTGTAGGGTTCCCATATTGCTCGACTTGTGTAGGACGCGGTGGCAGCGTTGAAGATTGTTGCTTCGTAGTCTGGCTTCCATTCATTTTATCACGATTAGTAAGAGATTTATGGTTGGTGGAGACAGGCCAGCAAGGGCGTTTTTATTTTTTATTACTGTTTTTTATTACTCATTTTTTTATTACACACACCGAAGCCTTCATAGTGCAACGCTTTCCTTGCTGGGATGAAGTGACGCAGCAGACACTCGCTGGTTTGCGGCGCGGCCAATGTACTGTAGCGGAAGAGGTTGCTGGCAGGCACAAGAGCCAGAGCGCGCTATCGTCAACGTATCTGAGGTGTTGGATAAGCGCAATCATACCACGCCTGCGTTAGTTCACGATATAGCTGGCGCGGCATGCGCATACGGCGCGCTGGCTGTTCACGGTATGTCCCCATTATTGCTACACATCGAAGGGACCAGGTACTTTTTACACACACTGCCCTTGTAAATTCTGTGCTTTTATTCTAGCATTTGTTGATCAGTCATTCCGAAAGCTTCATGATTTCTATTCTTTCAGGTCTGCTGTTTCACACAAGCATGTCTGGATCGCTGCTATCCCGGAAAAGGTCATCGCATGGAACTGTGTACTGAAAAAGTCTGCTGAATCCTTTTGCAACGGATCTTTTTTTCTGGAATAAATGATTCATTATGACGATTTGAAACCGGTTCTCGCAAATTCAGCTACCGTATACCTTTTTTGGATCATTCAGGGTATTCAAAACGAGGGATTGATCCAAGAAGGCAAGATGCAGACGAGTCCACAGCCGTGATTTGACTTATGGTTACCCTCATTTCGGAGAGAGAAAGTCGGAGTGCAGACCACACATCGGTAAGAGCGACGGCCAGAAAAGCGCTTTTTCTTGGCCAGTAGTTTTTATGATGTCGTGGGTCTGCACTTGTTTTCTTTTCATCTCCGACTAGGGCATATTGTGTACACGCGTATGTGCACAATAGATTGTACCCCATAGAAAACCTAATTTTCTTGAGAGCCGGAAACTTTTGTTGCTTCTGCCTATACTATAGTTTAGAAATAGACGAAGGAATAATATCTGTGATACTTATTTGACATTACGACTTTTTTAAAGTTTGTGACAACAATTTTTCACTTTTTGAGGCGGTGCATAATAGATTGGACGATATGTATTGTGGTTCATAAAACAAGACCTAAAGTCTGCTCCTCCCACCTAAGTATGAGGGCAGCGTTCCTTCTTCTCAGTGAGCTTGGGACTGAAATCAGATTTTGAATCAGCGCATTATATGCAGCAGAGGCGGTAGAGTTTTCCACTCCTTTGTAATGGTATTTCTTAGCGGCTGAACATTGTCATACGCTTTCCCATCTTACGCGTCAGTATACCCTATGTATTCCCGATAGGGTTTGTATCAGAATTACATACCGGCGATGAAATAATGGGTTGTTGTTAGATTGAAAGTGGGACAGAGTGCTTCACGGAGTGTGGTTTGAAGCGTTCTTTTGCACGAAGATGAAGTGTTTGTTGAAGTCTCAAGAAACGAATGGTACCAACGTGTTGTTGTTGAGAATGTGATAGTTCTGGCTTCTCATTCACATAAGAATCAAAATGAATCTCAAGGCTACCATCACTAGAGGATGCCCACCACCATTAGGAGAATGCACCGATGTTGCTTCGAGGCACCAGTAGTGGTTCACTTCTGCAAGAGCGCCAGTTCGAGTGCCGTTAGCACGACTCATCTCCGCCGACCAAAATGTCATCGAAAGAAATTACCGTAGGGAAAATAGAAATGAGAAATTTAAATTTAGTATAAAGCTGGAAGTGTGCCCAGAACACTCCGCTGCCCAATTTCTGTTATTCTCAATCCTCGCAAGAGGGAGCCGCTCATGTCGACGATATTGAGTCAGGCGTAGTGTCGGCTTTATTTTTTGTCGAACTATGTGGTCCGATATTTTCAACATACGAGACACGGTCCATTTCAAAACGACAATCCCGCAAGCGACAACCGATTCATAGGCAACCTTTGTGGAACTCAATGCCAAATTAATCAAGCAGCGCCTGCCGCGCTCAGGAACAACCGACTTCTGTACCACCTTGTTCTTAAGAACAGTTTGAGAATGATTCTTGATCACAGTTGCAACTGTACTCTCCTGGGAATGAAGGGTTCCTTAGAGATTTGGAGATCACCCTTGTCAAGAAGAAGTTACGCTTCACTTCGAATCCAGTCTTCGTTTGTGAAACGCGTATACTTCACATAATACGTGAGTACATGCAAACTTAAAAAGCAGGCAAAAAAAGTCGGAAAAATGGAATATCTCAAATCGTCCAATCTATTGTGCACCGCCAAAAAAATCAATATTTCACTCTAAAATTTTCAAAGACAGTGTGTCTAACTGAATATTGTGTCAACATTATTTATCTACTTCCCCAGGAAATATATCAACAGCAGAATCAATAAAAGTTTCGGCCTCTCTCAAAAACTAAGTTTTTTATAGGGTGCAATCTATTATGCACCGGGGTGCGGTTATAGTCAAGCGAAGAGGGTTAGGACTTCAGAGATGAGCACGTAATCAGTTTTCTGGCACCATATCTGGGACGGTAGCAAAGTACCCTTAACTCGCAATCAGAAGTAACGATCGGAGATTCTAAGCAAAGAATAAAGAATGGAGAGTGCGATCCAGCCCAGATCAAGCAAGAGCTTCCTACTTTAGATTTCAGACGACAAAATATCAGGAAACGAATAAATAAGAAAAAAAAGGTTGCAAAAGTACCTGAAGATTATGGATCGCAGCTGCATTCTTTGATTCCTAACAGGTTGAGCTGGTCAGAGAAGAAAAAAGAGCACGGGATTGAAGAGGCGCAGTCACCACGTCTGACACGTATGACCCTCCAGTAAAAAGTCCTTCGGAGTACTTTTTACTCGTGGGTCAACGTGGCGTCTGCGCCTCCTCGACCTCACACTATTTCTTTTCTCTGCCTAATTACGAATTAGGTTTACAAGTTAACTCTCTAACTACTAATTAAAATGGTTTTTTTGGTTATGATCTAACTGTAGGTTAAACAAGACTTAATGTGTTGAGAAGCGCTCTGAACCTGTTATCTAAACTGACTTTTGGTCTGAGCTAATCTCGACACGTTAAGTCTGAATTAATGAAGGTTTGCTACCGTCCCAGTATGTTGAAGAATGCTGGTTGTTTTACAATGAACTCGTGCTGACTATGTCATTGTCTTGATGATCAACTATATCATATATTTGATTGAGACGTTACGCCATTCGTCAAAAGGATATGAAATTAGAAGGGTGGGTTGTGGCGCTGTAGCGGACTCTGATCGTGTCGTTCCATGTGGAGCTTCATTCCTCGCTTCGAACCACTGCCCCACCAATGTTGAATTCAAAGTTGAAACTCACATGGTCGTAAATTTCTTCTGATCGGGCATTGAACTCTGGATTTCACTCCCGGCCGTTTTTTTTTGTCAAAATCACCTATAATTGACGGTAATGCTCGGCATAGTGAATAATGGTCTTGATTGATGAGTCAATTGGCGTATAAATAGAAAATCGGTGGTATAATCAACATTTTCATATTGAACGCTCAAAATAAGTCTACCTGCTCTGCTCATGCTGGAGAACGAATTTTTTTTATTCAAATTTTATTTATAGTGATAGTGATTAGATCAGATTCGTATTTAGGCTGAGAATTCTCGAAGAAGTAGGCATTGATGTTCGTCACGACGCGCCATGCATCCGACTTCCATTCCGAATCATAGCGGCTCTTAATGAGCATTTATCTAGACTGTAGATTAAATGGATGTTTGAGCAATGCCCGAACCGTGCATTACTATCCTAAATGGGCTTAGTTTTGGTGTAACGGCCCAAAAATATGATGCACATTGACCCGTGTTTTCCTTCTGCCCAACTTTTCATCGGAGATTTATTTCTTGGTGTGAGCAAAAGGCAAACAGCTACTCTGCAAAACGTTAGGACCTTTTTTCATGATAAGGCAGACGGCGGTAAAATGTAAGCAGTGATTTGCGAAGCTACTGCCAAACCCACGGAAAGGACTATTCTCAATGAAACCTCACTATAGCAACCTCTTCTCCATGATGGCGCCAGAATCGACTTAGGTTTGTAGCTGCCATGAGGCGTCAATCCTTGCCCTATTTCTCCTTTTGGGAATCTGAATGTCGTTGATTTTATTGGCAGGTGCTTTTGTTAATGTGGGCCTGAGAAAAAGAGGAGAAGGCGAAGGGGATCTATTCTAGCTCGAGTGGGAATCGTATTTGTAGAGTTCATGCCTCAGAACTTATTGCAAATAGATTGTATGGGTAGGAGACAGCGTAGGTTCAGTGGGTATGCTATAAGTTTATCCGAGAGCACAACCCAGGCAGACGTCATGTAAAAGATTCCCTTTGGTCTTATAGTCCCCCAGAGGACAATCAGTGATGGCATTCCTCGTGCATGGAAATCACCCGATAAAGGTGCTAGGGCCTTGCAAAGTTAGCTGCAGCAGCTGCAGTGTCCCCTCCGCAGCAGGCTGTTGTCCTGCACTCTCTCATCTGCTGCGCTCTCTCGTCTCATACCCTCCTCCCCGCGCGTGTTCAGTCTCTCGTTGCCTTATTACAGGCCCGCAAACCACGCGCAGGGCGCGCAACAACCCTTACTGTAAGCACTTTCCGCACGATTCTTTCTCTTTTTTCTTATTCCGCGGTCATTTCGCACCATCCTTCGTATTTGTGCGCAGTACGCATACGCAGTTTTGATCCTGGAACTGCTTCTAAGGTGTAGTCAGAACTCGGCGCTATCATCGGATGGCTCAGTGCCGGAGCGCGCGATCGTCCATCACTTGACCATCGCGATCGGCCAATCGCTCTAGGCAGAGCGAGCGACTGCATCGCGCGATGCAATCGCAGAGTCTGACCGAAATCTAACCAAACTCCAAAAAATCGTTGCAAACACCTCCGAGGCTCTTGCTTCTGTGACTCTGCTTAAATGCATCAAGAATAACGCTAATTTAGGACCACTATCTGAAGAAATTCTCGTTTTAGGATTAAAATGCAAGGTCTTCTATTGAGTTTGGTGATTATTGGAGCGACAGCAGACCCTTTCCTGAACACCACGTATACCTTGGATTTGCTAAACAGAGCCATTGAAGATATTCAAGCACAATCGCGTGAGCTCCAAAACATTTATTTCTCTTTCTCTTTAAATTCATTCTCATTCGGCGATTTTGGTGCTCGCTACCCGAACCTTCATCCTTACCCTGTGTTATTAGTAAGAGAGCGAAAACAAGGTTGAGTATGGTTGATGGGGAAATATTTTCAAACGCAAGCTCTCTTCTCCTTATACCCAAAACAACTATCCCCGCACCCTACGAAAAGGAACAGCCAACAAGGCTGAAATTTGAACTTTCCTTCCCCTCCCCTTTCCAACAGCAGCGAAGAGGGCATGCACGCAGGAAAGGCGAGTTTGTCGGTGAGCATTGCTGGCTCCTTGCCAGCAGTCGATACAGCAATCAACCCAACTGATGTTACGCGATAGCTAACAATACTTTCCCAACAATACTTATTACCGCCGTGTTTTGAACGAGCAATGGTGTCATCACTAGTGGGTGATAGCCCTGCACAACGCGTGATAGGCCGATGTCAGACTCAGCGAATCGCGCGATTCGCAAAGTCTGACATCGGCCATAGAAGGGATTGGTTCACGCTCCTCCCACCTCCCCGTCCCAACCTGCCTTTAGTCATAGCCGAAATGAAAGCTTTCAGAGTATATTCCTAGCTACATCCTCCAGCCACTCCTACAAGCTACTGAAGAGGAAAAACAGCAGTACATCACTTTCATGAACAAGATCCGAGACGGACAAATTACTGTGCAGAACAAGGACGATTTTCGTCAGCACATGAACGAGGTTCATGTTTTTCTATTGAAAAAAAGCAGTTCAAGCATTGGTGCTTTAATTTGTAAGCACATATTCACATACCACTATTTCGGAGAACCAGAAGAAAATCGAGTACAGACCACACACCATAAGAGACGACGGCCAAGTAAAGGAAAGCCGCTTTTCTCTTGGCCGTCGTCTCTTATGATGTGTGGTCTGCACTCGATTTTCTTCTCGTCTTCCGAAATAGAGTATA